CGCCACAAAGAAGAGTATTTTAGGCAAGCATTTATTTCGTTCGATAGTATAGATCGGGGAATTACAGGCAACCTTTGCCTGAAATCTCCTGCACGCAATTATAACGCGTTCTCAAGTGGTCTACTGTTTCCTCGCAAGTCTTGCAATGATCGATCATGCGTTTTTTATTCGCCATTGTGCATTTATCCCAAACTGTAAGTTTACACTGCAATACTTTTCCCATGCTTGACGATTTAGAAATGTTGCATGTGGGGGTTCAATGAATTGCATGTTCCGTTGCAATTTCGAAACGAAATGAGCCGTTCTTCCACCGTATAACTATGTCACAGCTATTCTGGAGGACGCGATCTAATTGCCGCAAGAATCAATCTAAGAAGGATTGTTTTACCAGTTCCTTTAGGCGCATTAAAAAAAGGTTGCTTCAACCGCGTCATTGCCAATTTGCATTATTTGATCGTACATGCCTTTTTGCTCAAGTGTTAACTTGGGAATGTCGGATTGTAGTACATATGACGAAAGATCACCCGTGTTGTAATTTAGTTCAAGACGCAATTCGACATTAAACGAAGCAGCAGCAGATCTTATCGGTGATGGCATTTTCTGTTGATTTAAAGCTTTGTTCGCGATTTCCAAGCACAAATCCTCAATCATTATCAACGCTTCATTGTATATTACTGCTGGAAATTCCCTGTTCCTATTGACATTTTCTTTGCTTATTCGACAGAAAATATCTTCAGCCATGTGCGACTTATATTTCGCCCTGAGCTTTGTTACAGAAGAAGGAGAGCAAGCGGTCAATATGACTGCAAACAATGCGCGAATTTGATTTGGATGTAACGCCTCATTAATCCGTGTGGGTGGTTTTCTAATGAATTCAGAGCTTGACATGCACCGCGGAAAGTGGCATGTGTAACGCCGTTGACAATTCTCAATTTGCTGAGGCGGCGTAGGACCAGGCACATTGACCAACAGCATGCGAAGAAAAAAGCATTCACCTTGATTGGGATGCACGGTGTACAGTCTGCCTATGGTAGTTTCCTTGATGATGCCAGGTTGTCCGTCGACCCGCACCTCGTTTGCGTCGTTCAAATGATTTTCTACTCACATTCCAAGTGTAATACGTGGGCACATCGGAATACAGCAGTTGTTTCGCAAACGCGTCATGTTGACATAACGTGAAGAAAGCAGTTAACGTTGTAGCCGGTGAATTCAAGGCCATTTGATGAACATTTGCAGCTGTGAAATAAACGCGTTGTCCGTTCTCCAGATGTACTGCTAGGTGAACGACAGCTGGACTTCGTTCATGTATCGGAAATGAAAGAATGCGCCATACAGCTTCATTGCTGCTTATGTATCTTCCAGCCTGATACTGAGCGATTTCATCTATATGTATGCCCGTATTCGTGTTACTTCTATTTGCTTTCAAACCAAAAGCTGCCATGTCGCTGCCCTTATTCACGTACTTACATATGTATTTGATGGATTTGACGGAGTTGCAGTATTCCACGTTTATGTGCATCTTGTACGTTTTTGATAGTAAAGGCGAATATGGAACAACCCACCCGTTATCGACTTCGATGTCACCGTTTCGCATTTGTATAGTGACTACGTTATCGCCGTCTTCTGCTGATCGTCTTCTGTATAAGGGGTATCCGTCATTTCCTGTAACCGTGTTGGATAACAATACTCGAGGATATCGCTTTGAGCATTTTCCGTCTATCATGCATGGTGAGTTTGGATTCAGTGAACCGCAGGGTCCATGTATAATATTTTTCGTCACATCTTCATGCAAATCCTTATCGATGTCAGGATATTGTATTTCAGCGCATCTTACATCGTCGATTTCGTTGAAAGTGGTTTTCTTGTAGAGCCATATTAGTATATGTGCGTGCGGTAGTCCTCTCTTTTGCCATTCTACTGAGTACATCCAACAGCGCACTGATCCAAACGCCCCGTGTTTTACCAAGAAGTTTATCAGCGATTTCAGCTTCTTTCCGGAAACATTTGCTGTGATGTCATGCCTATCCACCGGCGATTGCCCAGGAAGTAAGCGCTGTTGTATATCGTCCCAAGTTGGATTGCATGTGAATGTAATGAATAGGTCGGGACGCGCGTAACGACTAACATACAGAATCGCATCTTGAGCCTACTCATGCATATGACGCGGACTGCCTATGTATGAAGATGGCAAAATTGTGAGTCTCCCAACGTCAGCTGGATTGCCGTCATTCACAACGCGAAGCTTGGTCTGATTCATGCGAATGAATAACAAATGTTCTGTTACGATTTTTTGCGTGCATATCGACGATGAAACCATTGATATCATTACAAAATGTGATTGTCTTCATTCTCTCGAATCATTAATCGGTATAACTAAAGGTTAATTGCGCTGCATTTCTTTTGTGTTTCTTCGCCACTGACTGGATTTATCTTTTTGACTTTGAACAATGCACAATGAAGTTATACGGGTTAAGAAGCGTTGCTTTACAAGTCGCATTGGATAGTTGATGGGGATATCGAAATAACAATAATGATAGTAAATGATATCAACCAGCACCGTCCCAAAAATAATAGGATATTGCAGAGCATCGTAGTATCTACGAGTTTCGTCAACTTTTATCAGCTGTTCGTTTCTCCGATAAGAACAATCTCAGTTGGAATTGATCTCTGACTATAACGATTACAACTTCATCTATAGTTGGAGCGTTGAATCTTCGCACATATTCTCCAGTTGGTGTTTTGTCAGCATGAATAACAATCTTGTGAGTATCAGATGTCATTATGTCAATAGCTGTTTGGACCAAACGGAAACTTATTTTTTATTGAAACTCTTGCAATTGGGAATCGATGAACCGGAAGAAATTCCGCAGCGTGCATTCAGTTCATCATTGTCAACACCGCCGAAGTAAATTTGTGGGAATTTATCTTGATCGTGTGAAAAAAGAAGCAGGGATCCGGCTTTATGGTAAATCTGTCCTTTTCCTTTGAAAGTGGTCATGAATTGCGCCTTTAACATTTATGCACCGAATGACGTCATTTGGAAGCATGAGTTGTATTTCTTGATGTAGGAGAGGAAATCTTTTGTTCCGCGGTATCTCCGGAAATCAAAGTTTTTAACGGCTCTGGCGGCTCTTCCATTTGAGGCAGTTTCATTTTTCCTGTAGTGCAACACATTCCTTTCGTTTCTCCATTGAATTCCAGAGCCTTGCAATACGGACATACTTCAGTCATAGTGCCATTGGGAACATGCAGACTCAAACCGTAATGCAGCTAGGTTGTACCGGAATGCAAGCGATTAAAATTGTGCGCTTGCTGTGAAAGTGGTCATATTTGATACTGTTCTGCTGTTTCTCCTTGACGACTATCATTTACTGTTAGTCTGCCGCGTTCATTCTGTTGGGAAGGAGGCATATCTGATGCTGCAAAACATCATCGTTTTCTTGATCACGCATTCTTCATTCTGGCTGCACGTCGCACTGCACGTATCTGAGCCATTCTCTGTCTGTGTTCCTCAGTTTGATCTGCTAGTGCTTGTCGCATTACTTCTGATGCGTGAGTACGACGGCTTAAGATTGATCTTATGTGGGACCTTATTCAGGTGTACTAAGGCAAATCGCTAGCACTGAAAAAGAAGAAAAGTGCTATTTCGACAGCATATACAGTTGCAATAGAAAAGCCCGAACTGAAAAACAAATCAAAACATTACAATTACCGACGAAATATTTGCGTTAAAGAGTAGAGCAAACTACAGCGTTATTCCTTTGCCTGTTGCACTGCAAAATAAGAAAAAAACGTCAAAGAACGAAATGAAACCAATGGAAAAAAGCTAAACAAGCTTGAACGCCATCTTATCGCCAGCTCAATTTCAACGCTGTCGTACGAAATAGTCAACCTTTGCGAATTGTAATTCAACTGAAAATATCGATCTAACTATAAGTAGTGCAAAATACCAAATAAATTGTCGTCTATAGAATCATTATAATGTTAAAATAAAAATGACATCTGTCCAACAAAATACATATATAAACCTGATAGTAATCGAATGCAACTCTGTGTCAATATTCCCAAGAAATCGGTGAAGAACGTCCGGAGATTACAGTACACACCTAGTGATTTACATTATTTGTATTTGTGGTACTGAAGAGACGAACCGCGTGCATCTACCAGCCCTCGTATTCTTTCCGTGCTTTTCGCTAAAAATATCTTGAATCTTGCGGACGTAATCGGTTTTATTAATTAGAACTAGCGATATTATTTACCCGGCTTAGAGATTATTGTTTAACCATAACCAAGTGACTGCACTTGTTCACTTGTAAGAGCACTGCTACCAGCTGTTCTGACTCTAATGTAGTCATGACGTGTTTACTAAGCTGATGAAGTTGGGGGTTGGCCCTACGCTTGTTCTAATGCGCTGTCAAGCTGCACCTCTAGTTCAGCCCAGCAATTGATTAAACGTTTAGATCTGTTGGACTTAGCACGACACTAGAAAGTTTAAACATCTACCGCCTCGGGTTTCTCGAAAAGGTCATTTGCGCAACTTACTCCTCTTTGCTTCTTGGTTCTACATATCCTTTAACATGCTTCCTTAACTTTTCCGACAGGTCTAATACGGTCTAATACGTTGCGATATGTATCTTTCCAATACCGATATCTTCCTGCGACTGCTATTCACATAGTTGTCTGTATGCTTCCTTGATTTGTACACCTTCGGATAGATACCACATCGGCGTAATTTCCTCTAATAGTGTTTTAGATCCCGGCACGATTTTAAGCATTTGTTGAAGAAGCTCAACTCAGCCTCTTTGTACCGAGCCTTTAATTTCAGATAATCATCCAATAGCTTGTATAAATCAACCGGATGCTATGTTTCGTGAGCTTGTTCAACTCTGTTCTAAACCAGAAAACGTCGGATGGCTTTGGCGAACTCTACTTGCTCTTTTCCTTTATCCTACAACTGTTTCTCACAACCTATTTCCCCACTCATACTTAACTTTACGCAGCGTACCAGCCACGAAACCCCGTTTTATGGCACAACCGCGGAATATTACTCCAGCTGGCTGGATTGTCTGCTCCTGCTGCCTACTGCTTAAAAAAGTTCGTACTCCTTGCTGTTGTATGTTTATTCATGAATTCATATACGACGTGGTTTTATCCTTTTATTCTCATCGATGTTGGTTAACCAAGTTGCATTATTCTCCCCCATACCCCTGTGTACATAAGACTCGTCCTCAATTACAAGTTATCTTCAGAGTACGACTGTTGGAAAGCTGCACAGTGGTTCCAAACGTTTTCCATTGATCGTAGCAGTACTGAAATCCTTTGCCTTAGAAGTGCTAAGTTCATTCGTTACAAGATTTTCTGTCTTCCACAGTTCCGTGATGATGGCCAACGAGACTGGGCCTATACTGGGTGGCATTTCCCAAGTGCTTTCGAGTCCATGGTTTGGGGTCTGGCTAACTCAGTCTCGCAATCCAATCCCCTTTGAAGGTTAGGGAGAGGTCGTCGGCCCTATTCCTTTAAAACCTAGCCATATGAGACAACAAGTCTTCATGGGTCGTAATATAACCTCATAGCTCGATTAGCGTAGTGCTCGAGCGCCATGCATTGTCTCTGACGGTGGGAGGGCACCTTCCGGTGCTCAATGGTTTGCTACCGCCCGCTTCAAGCCAGACAGCCCCTGGTCAAATTGGTGTAAACCCGCCAACTCCCACCTGCGGCTGGCCGCGGTCGCAGGTGCGTATCATAAGACGGTCGTAAAACAAGTGTGCACTGTCTTAAATCTTCAAAAGCTGTGTGTGACAGGCCTCAAGCGGCAGGTCCCAATAGGTCTCTGCAATCACCCTCCCGAACTAGACTTGCTCCCCACTGTCTTGTGGGTAGAGGCTAAAGGCAGGATACCTGAAACAAAACCCCTTTCTCGGAATGGGCAGCCGGATAGTATCATATGCCCTCTTGACCACGTCAACAATATGTTCTTTTCTTCCCTGTTTTCCGTCTATTGAGCAAGAGACTGTCGTTGATCTCGCAGCCGCTAACATCGATACACGGTAGCTCTTCCATCAAATCTAGACTTTCTTTTCACATTAGTTCCTTTGACGTACGCACTCTAGGTCAGATCGGCCAGCAGGCAGCACTGATTCTTACTCTTCACTCTCTTGGTATTGACGTATGCTGTGTCTCCGGAACACACGTACATGATAATGGCGTCACGACAATTCTTCGACTCCCTGTTTCTGATTTAAATGACGATAGCTGCACTCTTCGCATCTCTGGCAGTACTGAGTCAATGGCTCAAGGTATTTACAGTGTTGATATTGCTCTCAGCAGCATTCCGAGGGCAATCTCCTCGACTGGATACCGATGAACAGCCGCATGTGTTCGGTTCGACTTCGAACCTCTACTAGAGTTAATAAGCAGCGTCTGACGCTAAGGTGCTTTTTCATCGCCTCAGTTTATGCTACTACTGAATGCAGCTCGGAGGGTTTCAATGCCGATTTCTATCAACAGCTCTCTTCTTTTCTTCGCATGGTGTAGGGTACTGACATTGTGATTGTTGCTGGTGACATGAGTTCCCCAGTGGGTCGTCTTTCAGACTCTAAATAGCACCCGCGCGGCTGCTTCGGAGTCCATGCACGTCCAACAGATAATGGGGATCGATTTCTGCAACTGTGTGCCGATCACAACCTTTACCTTAACAGCGCTGGTTTCCATCACAAACGTTCACACTACATCACCTAGCGCCTTCCGAATTCCTCAGTGACCGGGACAAATGGCGCACATCTGTCCAGAACTGTCGGTCCATTTGCATTATATGCCTGGATTCTAACCATGCTCTGGTACCCGCACGCTTGGCGCTCACATTTCCCACTGCAAAGAACTACCTATCATCTAACCTTACTTGTAACGAACTCGAGATCTGCTGTTCATCAATATCATGACGAACTGGCCAACCAACTCTCAGTGATGAATAATGTCGATGGGCCGAACCTTGATTTGGATCGCCTCAAGTGTCCCATGAAGGATGCCTTTGACGCTTGCTGTGCACCCAACTTGAAAAATCATAACTATGGATGGCTCTCTGAGGCACCGATCAGTTTAAATAAACAAATTGTATATTTATCGACAAACGGTACACGGCCCCATAAGCTGGAACGACCATTTGTATTGTGAATAGGTTTCATGGTTTATGCGACCTAAATCACAATAGTAAAAGAAGTTAAATAATAACATTACGGATCATGCTTTTTTTCCTCGGGTCCCAGACCCGAGCACCTAATATTTAAATTTTACCGGTATTTGTATCATCATTTTCTAGTTTGTGGGGCTCAGGAGTAGATAATAAAAAGGGAGGGATACTAGGCTGCAAAGACAGGATTTGATATTGTAGGTAATAACATGTAGTGGATAAGCTAGTTGTAAGCAAATATCTGCTCATATGTTTATCATACAAGTTACTGTCCATGTTTCTACAGTTTGCTTTGTGTCCAAGATCTTCAACACATTTGACATAGTAAGGAACGTCTGTAGGGAATTTCGAAATGTGACGTAGCTTGCACTCATGCGTATCTGTATGGGTAGATGGTTTTACAGATCATTGTATCTCACTAAGAAGAAATTCGATCTAGTTTGTGTGTATCAAGTAGCCGCCATTACGTGTGGGGTAGACTGCAGTCTTCCTTAGTTCAACAGCGGTGCTATCTGCGTAAATTCGTTGGTTTATAATGTTGTAGAAGAGAATGTGGTTGTTCTTTAAGCATCTGAGCCAAAGAGGATCCAGTTGGGGTTTTTGACATCAATCGTAATAACTCAGGTTTGAGCAGCACTCCGTGACTAGCTTTGTAACTGATCGCTGGACATTTTCCAGAGCCGTTCTGTCTTTCTTTCTCAATTGGCTGTGAACGATAGTACAGTATTCCAGAGTCGGTCGTACTATTGTCTTGAATGACTCAAGTCGTGCTTCAGGTAGGGAGAAAGTTCTGGGAATATATCCGTATAGCTGCCTTGGTTTTGCAACCTCATAAAGCACATGCTCGGAGAAATTGAAAGATTCCGAGTACCTAATTCCTAAGTCCCTAACTGAATCAGACGTTGGGATCACGTTTCCGGCAAGTGTTATAGAGCCTTCTGGGATGCGGCATCTTGGGATTTCACTGCGAGGAACTTCATTAATAAACGTTCACTGGCTATAATTAATGCGGATAGGTCTTCACATGTGTTTCCCAGACACATTAGTAGTTGGTTTAAATGAAATGAGTAGACCAGCTTGACGTCATCTGCAAATAGAAATGGGCGTCCATGTCTTATCGGGTCGCATATGTTGTTTAAGTAGATTAGGAAAAGTAGTGGTTCGAGCACACTTCCCTGGAAGACGCCGCTGGTTATTTGGTTCGGTGTAGAATATTGCTGACCGATTCTCACTACCTGGGTTCGACCGTTTAGGTAAGAGTCGAACCAGTTAGGCAGAGGATTTCCAATTCCATATGACTTTAGAGTAGACGGCAGTGGCTTGTGCGGCACGCGGTCGAACGCCTTTTGCATGTCCAACAGAATTATACTAATTGCCATTCCTCTGTCAATCATAGTCGTGACATGATTGGGGAACTCTAACTGGCAGGTAACGCATGAGCGTTTTGAGAGAAAGCCATGCTGTGATGTGTTGATCCGATCCAGTCTTGTAACATATTGAACGATGTTCTTCTTGACTATTCCCTCTAAAGCTTTGGAAGCAGCAGAGGTGTGATTTATTGGGCGGTAGCTTAACAAGTTATTTCTCGGGCGTCGCTTGTGCTTAGGCATTATAATGGATTGTTTCCATTGAGATGAAAAGAAGCCGGTAGTGAGAGAAAGTGTGAATATGTTTGATAGGAGTAGAGCGAGGTTTTTTTTCCCCGAGTTTTACAACAGTTGGGGAGATGCCATCTGGGCCTGGACGAGTTGATGGTTTTATGGCTGCGATGGCACTTTGCACATCTCTTAACATCACAGAGATATTACAGTGTTGTTCGTTCGTTTTTTTTGGAAGTGGAGGATGAAAGGGTTGAGTGTTGTGGACAAAACAGGAGGCAAAACTAGGGTTCATAGCCTCGCATATACAGGAGATGTCACGCGTTATTGAGCCATCGTCTAGAGCCAACGTTTCAATTTGCTGATGGGGTTTAGGATTCCTTCTTTCGAGTAGTTGCATCAATGTACGTACTTTCTCAGGATTTCTGAGTACCCGACTTTCCTCTTTGATTTTAGCCATTTGGGTTAGACGTTTTAAATGTAGCATATTCTCATGTATTTGTAGCAATGCTGCGAAACTGTAGCTCCTAGTATATAGCAGGTAAACTTTCTTTAGTTTGGTTTTGGCTTTATACAGAAGCTTAAGTTCACCACTTTATTCGTTTATATTTCTCCATGCAGTAGGTGCCAGTAGATCCACACCAAGGGCAATTCTTTTAAGAAGCTCATTTGTAGGGTTGTGAGTTAAGAAGACGTATTCTAGTTCATCGTATTGATAAGTTCATTAAATGACTTACAATCCTCACGATGGAGGTTGTGAATGTGTTTTAGAATTTTACTTGGTCCTTTACGTGGGTCAGTAGTGTTATCACAAAGCACTGTGTTGTGATCACAGCCAGGTAGTGGTTTATCAGTGGATTTATAAGTGTAATATATCACCATCGTGAATACAAGGTCTAAGGTAATGGTAATTCTGGTTGCCTCCATAACATGCTGGGTCCAGCTATTGAGGTGAATACATGAGATGATTTCCTCAATCCCAGCAGTTTTTCTGAGTGTAGGTAGCATCCGGTAAACATGTGGTAGGTTGGAATCTTCACACAATTTTTGATTTGTATTTGGTGCTGGAAGCAGCACTGATCACATCGATTAGCTTTTGGGTTTCACATTGATTGGTTCGGAGCGGTCGATATATACAACCTACTAGAAGATCGGTAGATGGGATCACTGGCCATGGTGTATCTTCTAAGTCATTTAGCACAGGTTGATCTGCGGGAATTGCAGTCAGGTTTTTTCGAAAATGTATGGCACAGCCACCACCACGTTTGTGTGAGCGATCCTTGCGTAAAAGTTTATTGCCTTAGCTGGTAAACTGAGAATCACTAATTTCTGACGTGCACCAACTTTCAGTGATAAAAGCAATATCGGGGGATCCAATTTTGGTAAGAGTACGAATGTCAATGACGACAGATTTTATTGACATTGTGAAATTGGAATAAAAGTGGTGGCTGATATTTGTTTTTTCATCATTGTATCTTAGAACTGTGTGTTGTGAGGTAGCTGAGGCACACTGAGCTTTAAATCGTACTGGATTGAATGAAGTACATACTCCAGTAGTTTGATTATTCTCTGATTCATACCGGCACGTTATGGGGCTGGATTGGTGTGGGAGGATGTGGTGGTATATGAGTCCAAAAAGAGGACTTCATTCTTAGTATACAGGGCTGGGGGGATGCTCAAGTCCAAAATTGTTATTCCTCGGATTGTATTGTTGCCAGTTGAATTATACGGTCGGTGGTCGTGGGTGAATTTTGACTTGGGGTAGATAGACGTTTCATCCTTTTACCTGTAATTCCTTGTGACCACCATTTTGTTTGCTATTTCGCTGTCGAAGATATAAGGGTTTTGCCAGCTTGGGGTTTCGGGATTTGGAATCGTAGTCAGAGACATTGTGGGTAAGTATTGGGCCGGATTTTCCGATTTATCCCCACAACAGTGTCGGTGTTGCATGTGGAAGCTTGAAGACGTACTCTTTTCCTCAGTTGGCCTAGCTGCATATCTACTGAGCTTTGAGTGTTTGTGGGCGAAATTCTGTCAGCATGTTTTCCCTTGTTTTTGATTACTCCTTGGTTGGTCGTAGATATGCCATAGCATACTTCATTCGGGTCGGATTTAGATTTGTTTTTCGTGATGCCAACGTGACGATCTGGGTTTTCATCTCGCTTTTGTTAGGCCTCAGGTACAGTTACTATCGACTTTTGTAAGGGCTCGCGGATTTGAGAAGGGACAAAGGATTTGGGTGTGTGATCAGCAGGTATCTGCGTCGTTATATTTTCAGCCTGGTTGGTATTTTTGATATGTATACATCAATACTGCGGTTTGAGAATCTCTCATGTGGCCAAATAAGACTGAGATGCCCGTCATGACCTATTTTAGACGACGCGGTTGACTTATCAAGGTCGACATTGCTGATGACATCGTCGGAGGAACATGTGGTGTATGATGAGCGGAGGGGTTTAGTTCCATTTTTAATCACCTTTGAAGAGGCGTTTGATCGTGTTGATCATAACGTTTTTAAAATTAGTTTGTGCAACAACTAGTCTTTTATTGCGTGCGAATTTGGATGCTCTCCTATGGTCTGGAAACTGTAGGAGTATCGGACATGTGGTCAGTCTGAGACATTGACACGAGACTCCATCCATATTGCATGCTTTTAAGAGGGTATCGGTTACTCTGTCGATGTTCGGTTTATCAGGCGTGTTAAAAATGATAACATTATGCGATCAACGGAGGTGCTCTTGCGTTTCGGATGTAATTGCGTTTAGTAAGGAAACAGCTGTGTTCAATCGGTCCAGTGTTGCAGTTGCTGAGCCTCTAAGCAGTTCACCGAATGATAGGACTTGTTCATAGTTTTGCTGAATTCATGAAGTTCGCATTTCCGCCTGGCTACATCTTTGCTCGAAACACGGAAACAAGTTCCGATGTGCCTTGAGTTTCAGCTTGTCTGTAACTCCATGAAACGACCTCTAACAAGGAGCCGGTGAATGAACCTGGAACGTTTATGGATGGCAAGGGCCCGCAAAATTGGGTAAATCGGTTCTTTTGGAACGCCCGAGTGCTATTCCGACTCACCTGGGACACGATCCGAGAAAGCCATACATGAGCACGACGATAGCTGAAATAGATGGACAGTTGATCTATTCTCAGCGTCCTTGACTAGCCCGTTGGGTGAAACGTTTTGTAGAGCAGTTCAGCAGGTCTGCTGCGACACTGCCGGTTGCCGAATCGCTTAAGCCGACGTGGTAAGTAGCTGTCACACTTTGGAAGAGATCCAACTTGAGCTTTTCGTGTTGAAACGAAAAAGGATCCTGGACCCGACGGCCCTTCTCCATCTTTACTGAAAAATGCTAGTGACTTGTCTTGACTTACTTCTCTGTTTAACGCGATTTGGAACACTGAAGAGGTTCCTTCAGACTGGTGATTGTCAACTGTCGTGCCTGTCTCCAAGAAGAGTCGGCGCACTTTCTGCAAAAATCATCAAAGCATTAGCCTCGTTTCCGTTGCCTCCAAACTTCTCATGGGTATCATTTCCGAACGACTTACTGGTCCCTGTGGGTAACGAATCACTGAAAACCAGGCTGGCTTCCGTCCAGATTGTAGTTTTATCAGCCACATATTTACTCTTCGCCAAGGTTTAGAGCAGTGACACATAAAGACGACCGACTCTGGTGGTTTTCCTTCGACTCTGTTGTCCGCGCCAACCTTTGGCACTGCCTATCCATAAAGGGCGTGCCAGCTACATTCCTTTCTGTCTGCCTTGACTCCAGGGGCTATGTAACTGGTCTACTGGAAACTGTCTCCTGAGTTCCCCACGACAACTGGAGTTCGCCAGGGTTGTTCTATCTCATTTCCTATCCAACTTTGTTACTACAATGATTACTTGTGAGTCCGTTCCTTCAGATTTTATCACAGTGGAAATCCTACCAGGTGACCAACTGATAAATCTGGAGTATGCGGTCGACATAGCTCTTCTTTGGTCTGATGCAGTGGTTATGCAAACACTGCTGCTTAGACTAATGCGTAGCGCTGCACGCTTCGGCATGTGCTTTACACCTTCAAAGTGCAAAGTACTGCTTCAAGATTGGATCGACACACCTCCGGTTCTGGTTATCACCGAACAGCCACTGGAAGTGGTTGATCGGTTCTCTTACGTTGGCAGCTGTGTCACTTCTGGTGGTCACATCAGTGAGGAATTTACTTCGCATATCGGTATGGCCTGTGTGGCTTTCTAAAGAATCAACCACCTATGGAGACGGCGGGATAACAGCCTGTCAATGAAAGATAGGGTGTATAACGCTGCGATAACGTCGGCGTTATTGTTTAGATCAGAGATCTGGCCAGTTCGTGACGAATGCATGAAACGTTTGGCCGTGTTTGACCACCGGCGCTTGCGGAGTATTGCTCACGTCTGGTGGGAACACCGCGTGAGAAATGCTGAAGTTCGCCAGTTGGTTTTGGTAAGAAGCCTTCTGGTTCCTCACTGTAGTGTGTACTGAATATTTATCACGTACGTTGGCTAGGCCGTTTTCTCCGTATGTCCATTGACCGGCTTCCTCGGCGTGCATTATACATCGTGGCTACAACAAGTTGGGTGAAACCGCGAGGTGACCAGTCCGTGACGTTCCATAGTGGCATGAAGAAATTGATTGTAAGACTTGATCAGGCGGGTGCGTGTCGTCTTTGTGGATGGGGGCCCCGGGATGGTCCACACCAATAGTTGGAGACCGCATCAGACATAGTGTAGTCAGTGGCGTTTCTGTATTTGATTTCTTGCATCTGGTTGCTAATTTTCGTACCAGTCTGATTAATTTAACGCACTTTCCATGCATTTTTATGCATTCAACCCCACTATCTTGCCGCTGTTACTTATTGTTTTCTGGCGATGTGAATCGTAGTAACTGAATCCACCGCAGCTCAGTGCTCGGATGATAGTTGATCAACTGAACTGATGACCATCCAGCTTTGATTTCAGCTTAAGCAATAAGTAGAAACCGCATGCAGCTACCTCAGGGCTGTAGGACGGGTGTGGTAGGTTGGGGATGGTATTCTTCGCTAACTACTCTCGAATTGAGAGCGCTTTGTGAACAGACGCTTTCTCGTGGTGCTGCACGGAAATCTTCTTCTGCTCTTCCGGGCTTTCTTTGGGCTAGGAGAAATTATGATTTAACACTTCTCAATTTGCAATCTAATCTCTGGATCTTACTCGAACATCCATGATTCGTCTCCTTTAGTTGATTTATCCAAGAGATTTGGTTCAGTTATGAGTCTTCCCAGCAAATTTGAAACCGGTTCTCTGTTTCCTTCACAAGTCTTTGGACAACATTTTGGCACATATTGTTTGCATTCCTAAAATGTTTGTTAACATTCCATGAAGCACGTTTTTATCCAAGCAAATTTCTATATTAATCATCTTTTCACTGATTCGGCGATCTTTCACCAATACAGCTCTCACAACTGCATTTTGACCGTTGGTTGGCAAAATCGGTCTTCTAGAACGAAGTTCGTCCTCCAAATTTTTTCGGCCGTCTGTAAAATCGTTATGTCGCCTTAAAACCGAATTCCTCGATTAAATGGCATCTTTATAAGTTTCCATTAAATTTAAGTGTTTCGGTAGTAGATTTTTTGCGTTTCACACGAAATTGGTAGCGTATCGTTGTTCGACATTTCGCTCCATAGCAAACGTAATTTGAAACTAACACACTATCTTACACAAACTGGTACTGCGCGGGAGTAACTCAACCCATCGAGTTGAAGCAAGTCTAGGCATGAAGTGTAGATCACTACTCATGCTCCGATATCCACCAATGGGAGTTACTTTGTCTAACAGTAGAACGGAAAATCACTACAGTTGTTTTTGGAACATAGTATTCTGCAGTATTTTGAGCTTATTTGGCATATCTTATGTTACCTTTCGTCGGTTTTGTACAGAACTGTCAAATTACTTTCCGGATCCCGTGACGTAATTGAGGAATCTCGATCGCACCTCCAGTTGGCCATTGCCCAATGTTTCCTACTTAGTTTTATTTGGTAAGTTTTAATGCTACTCAAAGTTGGCATGTACTCTTATATAGTATATATTTCATACGTCTCGCGTGCCCAACAAATCCCTTTCATAATCGATGGATTCTTCCGTTGATAGCCGTCCTCTCGAACTCGCTTTATCCACACAGCTCACAGTTACCTATAGATCGTCTTGTAGTGATGTGCATATTGTCTCACTTTGTAACTCGCATACTTTCCTAACAGCCAATTTCTATATCTATAGCCTGTAACTTTAAGGATCAAAAGCCTGCCTTGTAATCTGAGGCGCGGATTCTAGCCTTCTTAGGGACTGGGCGACCCTCGAAGTATCCTTAGTCCATGTGCGGCTAGTGGTGGTTCCGCGGTAGCGAAGCGTCGGTACGCAGTGTTGATGTACTGCTGATGTTTGCCTTGCTTTTCCATAGTATCTACTTTCGATCCCTTTCCTAGCGCATTATTTATTGTCACTCGTTTACTTTGCCTGATAATCTGGTGCTGTTAGCCTTGGTCAGCTTTAGTCGCATCTTGAGCTCCACTTGCATTTCAACCAACCAGCGTTCCATTTTTTTCTCAGTGATCTACGGTGAATATACTCTTCATCGCTCGCCACTTTACACCGTTTGCTTTCCTCACCTATATTTCTTGACTAGCCAATCTCTTTATTTACTTTGAATTTCCTCGGTATTTCAGCTCGCCACATTTCGCTCTTTCTTGCGATACATGTTACCTGTTTTATTTCACTTCACTGGAATGGCGCTTCGAATTGTCATGTGCAAACGAGCCCGTTGGATTTTTGCATTTGTGTTGAGCCATTCAATCGAATAATGATTGATATATTCTTGAGTAGGTGATGCACGGTCCAGCTAATCTGGTTCGATTATGAGGTATAAAAGAAATGCAGAATGGTTTTACAAAATTGCTGTACAAAAACACTTGTGGTTCTGAATCCATTGATTCTAGCGCCACTGATTTCATTTCAAAATTCCTTGGAATCCACGACAATTACTAAACGTTCAGATACGTTTAGACGGATGGTTGTGAAAAAAAGCAAATTAACGACATTTTAAGAGGTGAGTGACAATATGTGCATGTAAAATGTAACATATCCTGAACATTGGTGTATAACCATACTTTATAGCGAAGGTTTGTGAGCAGACATATTGATACGACAAACGGTTAACCTGAGAAGTTCATCCATCATGAAACATAAATCAATTAGAACTAGTGACACCTCACACAAGAGATTATATGTGGTAACACAGGGCAGATGGAATTGCATACATAAATTTGATGGGTTAGTTGCAAACATCAGCAATTCACCCTTTCAGTAACTCCATGTCTTGCCGGCACTCATGCCCTTCATCTAGCTGCGTATTAGAAAGGAAGCGCTATATGAAGACTAAGGAAAAAGCTTGCTTATCCAGCCCACCAATGTGTGCATGTTTCTATCATGCCATCAGTATGTCTTCAAGCTAAGAGTATAGTAAGAAGCAGTCTAGATGAAGAGTTAAACGAAGATAAATCCCATCTATCTAGCTCATCGATGTGCCCATGTTTCCACGCGACCCCAACGGGGCATCATTCGGAGTAACACGAAGAATATAACACTATAGACTAAGAGAATATCAGAGATATATATCCTTTACCCAACCTATAAATGTACCAGTGTTTTCATAGGACACCGGTGGATCATTAGTTTGAGTAATACCGAAGGATATGACAAAGTAAGAGGAAAGAGTGCAAGTTGTCTATCAAGAAAAACTCACGAAAATGTGACAATGTATTTCACGTTGTATCGGCAGTCTCTTCTCGCCATATTTTTCTGTATTTTTATATTGCGAATTCCGTAGGTACTTAGATGTTATCAGGACCGTTCTAGTACACCCATTCGTCTGTGCAACTGACACGAAACTGTTCTTTGACTTTATTAACAGTTAAGCACTCCTTAAATGTTCGAAGCGAAGATGTACTTCTGCAGGCCGGTGACAATCTATTCCATAACGTGGGATATTTGTGTGTAAAACTATTGTACCGCAGACGTGTGCGGCATCGAGGTAGTTTATCACGTAATCTTTGTTTCTTAGGTAATACGTTGAAGATTCTTAGTAACTACTGTATGTCATTCGATGAACAATTTCGAATAATAGACATAAATTCAGCCTTAATCTTCGAAGCCATGGTGGTTCGATTTTTAACGACTGACATATCTTTATTAGTGAGCTTAGAGGTGTAGCCCACGATTCTTTTTTTGATCGACCTTTGTGTAGCTTCGATTACACTCGTGTCGCACCCTCTAATGCTACTAAAGGGGATGACGCAGTATTCGAATAATGGTCTGGCGTACCGTTTGAATGACAGGAGCATAATGTCGCTTGTTATAAACAAGCGGCCTATCATTCCAGTAGTCTTTCGTGTTTTGACCACCGTATACCCAACTTGCTTTTTGAAATAACGAACCTGCGTAACGGAGACCTAAGTCACATATCGATTCGCATAAAGGGAGTGGGATTCCATGCAAAACAAACATTCAGGTGGAACCAAGCATCCATAGTACATAATGCTGCATTTATATGTTGAAAATTTCATGGAAGATCCAACACACCATTCTTCCAGTGAAACTAGGTCAATTTGGATCGCAGTTATAAATTACGATGATTGAGAATCAGTGTCATACAAAATTTCTATATCATCTGCGGACAAATAGGGTCCACCATACCTTATTACAGGGAAAAGATCATTTACATATATCAAAAAAGAAGAGCGCCGAGTACACTACCTTGTAACACGCTATTAGTATTATCTATTGTTTCCGACGGATATTCATCTATCCTGACTCTGCTTTCTACCAGTGAGGTAAGCTTCTAATTAGGATAGTAGTGAGCCTGTGATTCCACAAAGGCGAAGTTTCTGTTAGCTTACGACGTGAAATTCTGTCCAAAGCTTTTGAAAGTCCGGGTGAACTACGATACAGACCTTACCAGAGTCTGCCGACTTCGTTAAGTGATCAAAGAAATCTAGGTGACAAGTGACTTGAACGTTTTTGAAGAAATCCGTACTGCAAATGTGACAAAAGATTGTTTGATGTTAGGAATTCAACAATTTCATTTTTATCTAGGCGTTCCATTATAGCAATGTGATTTATGAGCCGGTTTTGTGGTATGGTGTCACAATCGTCAGTTTCCACTGATCGGGATGAAACCGATTTGTCATTGATGTAGTAAACAAGTTCAGTAGTAAGCTAGGGACATCATTCCCGCCGGAATTTAAAAGTACTAGAGGAATTCCATCTTTACGTGGATGAAATATAGCCTTTAAAGCGTTAATTTGACACTTGCCTGAATCAGTGTCGAAATCTATGTTGGAGATACATGGCTCACAGTACTGTGCGGGGTGATCCCAAAGTGTATCGTTCACAGTAGTAAAAGAATCGGTAAAATAATTGTTGAAAGCTTCAGCAGGAGTATCGATAGGGACACCCTCGGGCTTACTAAGATATAGCGGCGAGTTTCGTTGTGTGCGACCGCCTTTTTAATATTTGTGTTATTTCAACTACTGGGTGCGCACTTTTCATGATTTTAGTCTCTTCATTTTTGAGACGAAGAATTTTCAGGTTTTCATTTTTATTGACATTCTGTGAAGCATGAAAAGAACTGTAAAGTTATTAGTCTGTTAAACTCTTTGGTAAGAACTCAAATCCTACGTTGTTTCTCCTTCGGCTGTGACTTATTTCGGCTGCGAGCTAGAGCAGGCGACAGTATTTCGATGCATTGATTTATGCTCTCCTAAACACACGAAATAACACTTTTGGATTAGAAGACGGAGAAATCGGTCGGTCAGAAGTATGTACAAAGGTAGTAAACTTTCTCCTGGTTATTCTATCAAAATTACACACATGTCTAAACGGGGCTTTAGTTGCATATGCAATATTCATTTTGCAACTGACAACATTATGGTCACTACCGTGTAGACCAGCCATTCTCAACGGGAGCCATATGGACCCCTTGGGGGCCATAAAGAATTCCAGGGTGGCCCTGGGATGAGAATACTTTTTAGGGGAGCCACAGGGGGCCATGCTGTGAAAAGTGCGTTTTGATAACACAAGTAGCAAAATTCATGTAAAAATTTTCCGATCGTTTATCTCCTTGCTCTACTCTCCCCTGGTAACTACCGGTCAGTGAAGTGGATTATGCTCGCGCAATTGGCTGTTTATGAATGTGTGAATCCAGACAGAGAAAGCTTTTCCTTGCTTAGTTGGTAGAGCCCCGCCAAACTTGCACAGATTTCGCCTGGCTCACCTCAAGCATGCAATCACCATACGGGACTTTGATGCCTATCCACAGTGAACCAATCGAGCTCAGGACAAGGATACATCTACTAGACAAGCTGCAGTGAACCTAGCAAACTCTCATCAGAACATGGTGGCAATTACCGCACAAAACTACACTAACACTGAGTTTTCCTCAGGACCCTACCTCTGTGTGACAACTCATGTGCAGGTCCGTCTTTCTTTCTCGTTGAGGCTCAGTTCAGTAGGGTTAGGTTACACGTTTTTCGTCATCACTCTTAGCTTACTTGCACGTCTGGCGGCTAAGTTAGATTAGCCAGCAGCGTTCCGAAATCGAGTGGCTACTCTGCGCATGGGGTACTATCTCTGATAAACGTTCGTTCGTTCCTTCCGACTAAGAGTCGAAACAGCTAGAACGCGTTATAATGTTTTTTAGCATACCGTTCAACTCAAGTTTTCAAATTAGCGCGTATTTTTGTTAACTTACCTCATACGTGTGAGCATCCGGTTTCTTTGGTGAATATATAACATAGTGTGTACATAAGGATGCTCCTCCTAATACTCATGATAATCAGTTGCTTTGCCAGTACGCATTGGGCGCCATGTTTGGCAATAGCTGATGTACGTTATTAGTTTCGTTGTTGACTCTCATGTGCCGATTTCTTGAACTAGCCGGCATTTTCTTCCGGATTTATCTCTTCTGTTCCACATTGCATGTTGT